CAGTTTACGCTGGCAGCACCAGTGGAGGATCAAAATGAGCATGAAGTCAAGTCAGTTAGCCTACTATGATGAAATTTTACAGTAATATAGCTTATACAGCAGAATAACACATAGGCTATAATTTATAAAGATATTATATAAATTAGAAGTAATATAACGATAAATCTTATATATAAAATTCTCGTGTCACAGTTTTCGTTCCCATACTCCTCCGAAACAGCTTGAGCGATTCTCATGATATTTTGTGAGCGTATTGAGTAGGTCTTAGAATCGGCCAACATCTATTTTTCATCCCCCTAAATGTTAGGGGTAGTCCACCCCTAATTTTTATTTTTATTTTAAGGCAAAACAACGTTTGCCGGGACAGCTAGTGTTATATAAATGTGACAGGGGTGTGTGGAGCAGCTAGTATAAATATAAATTAATTAATTATCCGGATTAGTAATCCCCACTAATACACCATCGACACGAACGCCATCTCTTCTCTATTCTCTTACTGTTTGAACACTATTCCTCAAACAGATAATTGGATGGATGTTTCTTACTCTTTCACGCAAAAACTATTGAACGGATTTTGACGAAATTTTACAGTAATATAGCTTATACATCAGAATAACACATATGTTACAATTTAAAAAGATATTATATAAATATAGAAGGAATAAAACGATAAATGTTATATAAATGTGACGGGGGTGTACGTGGCAGCTAGTATAAATATATATAAATAAATTAATAAAGGAATTAGTAATTCTCACTACCAACGAATGCTATCTCTTCTTTATTCTCTCACTATTTGAACTCTATTCCTCAAGGATATATTTATATACTATGTTATATATGATACACCAATGGCAGATCCAAGGGGGAGGGGTCATGTGGGCCATGACCCCCCTGAGCTTAGGATTTAGGTGGACCACTAATTGAACATAATTATTTTATTTATATATTTTGTCACCATACAGATTTTATGTAACTACATACATTCAATATTATGTAATTATATTTAAATAGTGCTTCTCTGGATCTGGTTTTCAAGATTAGATGGCAATATCTACGTGTATATGTACAAGTTATATTTTAGAAACCAGTAAATTCGTCTGAAAATACCCCAATTTCTATAAAACACGCGAATAAAGGTGTGAAAAATATAATTTACGACACAGAAACAGGCACCTTCCATCCTCCACGTTAGCACTACATACAAGTGGTCCTCTGGTGTCATCCATAAATATATATAACCACTTACCACTTTCTTTAAAAGAGATAAAAAATGATAGAATATTTATAAGAAATCTCAAGACATTGTTGATTAAAAAATGTTATTATACAATTTTAGTAATTAAATATATACAATTTCAAATTATTAATTATTATTACTAATTTTATCATTATTATTATATATTATATAAAAAATAACTTGTCCTCCTCTCTTCTCTTCCGCTTGCTGTGCCCAACAGGGTCCATAATTAACCTACTTTGAAATGTACCTGTCTATCTATTTGCTGTAAAATTATGGAATGCAAAGCTTAAATAAATAAATAAATAAGATAAATAAACAAGTTATTATGTGTTAAGTTTTTCAAGTGTACAATAAAGAATAAATATTTTAAGTACAGTACTTACGTACATTAATAAAATACCTACTTTTTACTTGTATCTATTGTTATCAAAATTAAATTATAAGTTCTTGACTTGACCACGACTATGTGACGCCCTCCTGGCGCCAAAGCTACTTTCACCCGGACGTATACAGGGTGTACTATATTTTAATTGCATTTAATTACTTTAATACAGTGGTTCCTAAATAGTTTTTTGCTGCGTACCACTTCAAAAAAGACCTCAAACCTTGCGTACCCCTTATTGTAGCAATCACAGTAATATTATAACTGTGAAAGTTTGTGAGTGTGTGTGTATGTTTGTTTTACTGATATCCGGACGCAACTTCACGTACCCCTGGGGGTACGAGTACCAGTAATTGGGAGATACCACTTTAATAAATATTTTTAATATTAATAACATATAATCACTATGTAAACACTATTTTTTCACTGTTTGAACACTATTCACAATATCATAAAGTTACTTTCATTGGCCTATACAGGGTGTAATATATTTTAATTGTTTTAATTACGAATTTAATAATAATAATAATAATCTCAAGACAATTCACACAGCGCCATCTAGACCCAAGTTAAGCTAGCTAAAGCTTGTGTTATGGGTACTTGACATCTGATACAAATACATAGATAATTTTTTTTCGTAAATACATACATATTATACATAGAAAACACCCAGACCGATACAAACAATCATACTCATGAATACAAATGTTTGTGCGGTGCGAGGAATCGAACCCGCGACCATCGGACGTAAAGCGGTGTACTAGACCGCTAGACCACCGAGGGCGTCAATTTATTTTGATATATATATTCTCAATATTAATAAAAACACTATGTAAGCACTATTCTTTCACTGTTTGAACACTGTTCCTCAAGGATATAGTCTATATACTATGTTAATATATATGATACACACAAAGTTACTTTCACCCATGCGTATACAGGGTGTAATATATTTTAATTGCATTTAATTACGAATTTAATATATATATATTCTTAATATTTATAAAATTACTGTGTACCACTTGAAACTTTATGGTTTAACATATGTTTTGCCTTGTTTACTATGTTGATAGCAGCTCGTGTGGTTGTTCGTCATAGATAACGGTTTATTTGTAGATACACAGCTGTTGTGTAACTATATTTGACGACCTCGGTGGTGTAGTGGTTTAGCACACCGCTTCACTTCCGCTGGTGGAGGGTTCGATTCCTCGCACGATGTGAACACTTGTATTCATTAGCATTGATAGTTTGTTATTGTTTATATTGTTGCACTGTCGAAAAGCACTGGATAAATCTTTTTCTTTCTTTCTTTTCCTGAGTGTTTTTTTTTCTTGTCTTGTTGTTTTATTTTAATATTACCATTGAAGAAAAGATTAGAAATAGAAATAGAAATAATCTTTATTCAAATAAACTCATTACAAACACTTTTGAATAGTCATATTTTGATTCTACCACTCATTCGGAATGCAGATTCATCACAAGAAGAATGAGCAAGAAACTTGTGTGTGTTGCTCTTTTTAATAGATGTTTTTTTTATATAAATAATTACAGTGTAACAAGTAAGAGGCATGCGATAATCAACATAGAAATCGCTACGCACTCATTATTAGTGTAATCAGATAATATTGTCAGTGCTATGTATTTAAAATTTTTCTACAAAAACATTATTATCGTTAACGAATTCTTCAATTTTATAGTAAGCTTTTTTGCAAAGGAACTGTTTTATTTGACATTTAAATCTTTTTTCTGGTTAAAATACATATAACCTATTTGTAATTAAATGATTAGTTTCATAATTATTTGTCATGTTTTTTCATACTACGACGTCGGCAAAATAAATGGTAAAAGTAGCCTATGGAATGAATACACCATCCTGAAACACTAGTGGTGTCACGTGCGCATTGCCGACCCTTAAGAAACCTTAAAATACCATTCTTGGAATACACTATGGTTTTCTTTATAGAATAGAATAGAATAGAAAATCATTTATTCAAATAAACTTAATTTAAGCACTTTTGAATAGTCATAACAATTTGTTTTTTATCTACCACTCGTTCGGAAAGCTGTCTCATCACAAGAAGAACGAGCAAGAAACTTGTGTATGTATTGATCTTTTAAATAATCCTTGTAAGTTTACATTTACAAGTCGAAACGTGTGAATACAAACTACCAACAAGCACAAATTTTTTGGGTCAAATATAATCATGCAATAAGATTAAATCAGTCGTAGTGATAAGAGCAGACCAGTCCCTACAAGCAGCACTCGTTCACGAGTATGACGGATGAGCCAGCCATCACTGCGCTCGACCATATTTTAGGGAGCCCATTGACCCGGCCCACCACGCCGCCACATGTCTGGACATTTTAGTGACTAGTGACTAACATGATAGACTACCATTGTGGCAAATAAGCATACGGCCCATCTGATGGTAAATGGTTACCGTAGCCTATGGACGCCTGAAGCACCGGGGGTGTCATGTGCTCGTTGCCGATTCTTAAGAAACCTTAATATGTCCTTCTTGAAAAACACTATGCTTTTTTATATAATACGATGGCGGGAAACAAGCAGACGGCCCATCTGATGGTAAATGATTACCGTAGTCTATGGACGCCTGAAACACCCAGTGTCACGTGCTCGTTGCCGATTCTTAAGAAACTTTAATGGCCCATCTGATGGTAAACGGTAAAAAGTAGCCTATAGACACTTAAAACACCAGGATGTCACGTGCGCATTGCCGACCCTTAAGAAACCTTAATATACTCTTCTTGAAAACCCCATGCTGTAGTCTCATGAGAAAACCTCGGCAGGTAGTTCATTCCACAATCTAAGTGTACGCGGGAGAAATAATTATATTCATATATACACACTAGCTGTCCCGGCAAACGTTATTTTGCCTTAAAATAAAAAAAAAATTTAGGGGTGGACTACCCCTAACATTTAGGGGGATGAAAAATAGATGTTAGCCGATTCTCAGACCTACTCAATACGCTAACAAAATTTCATGAGAATCGGTCAAGCCGTTTCGGAGGAGTATGGGAACGAAAACTGTGACACGAGAATTTTATATATAAGATATATTTGTATAACTGTATATGTATTTTATTATAGTACTAGCTACTAGCTCGCGCTTCGCACGGGTGTACATGTATTATACATATAAACCTTCCTCTTGAATCACTCTATCTATTTAAAAAACCGCTTCGAAATCCGTTGCGTAGTTTTAAGCATACATATGGACAGACAGCGACAGCGACTTTGTTTTATACTATGTAATGATAATTATATATGTATATCACTTTTGTTTTAGATTGTAAAATTCGTTTATTCGTTTATTACTCTTTTTTGGCTTTACATTTTTTGACACAACCACTCACCTCGGATACGGCGTCGGGCAACGCCGGCGCGTCCTCGGAGCAGTCTCGCGCGTAGCCTTCGTCGTCGGAATTGAATCCCAACTCCTCGCCGTAGCAGCTGTGTACCTTTACAACACAACATAAAGATTACTAACAATAACTCACACAGCGCCATCTAGTTCCAATCTAACCAGAATTAAGAAATTGTGTTATTCGTACTATACAACTTGTAGAAATACTTAAATACATTTTTGATGGCCTTGGTGGTCCAGCAGTTCAGCACTTTACTTCTGATGATCCCGGGTTCGATTCCTCGCACGGCACAAACATATGTACTCATGAGTAAGACTGTTTGTATCGGTCTGGGTGTTTTCTATATATAGTATGTATGTATTAACGAAAAAAGAACCTATGTTCTGATACAAACATCAGTTATCTAGTACCCCTAACACAATCTTTAGCTAGCTTAACTTGGGTCTAGATGGCGCTGTGTGAATTGTCATGATACATTATTATTATATCACTAGGTATTTCAAAACAATCAAATGATGAAAGCTGTGCCCACCATCATGTGGAATATATAGCGAGGAAGAGAAAGAGAGAGAATAAAATGGTGAAAGAAATTCTATAAAATAAAAAGACAAAAAAATTTGAAGTAAATAAAGTTTTTTGTATTAATTTTGTATATACATGAAAAACACAGAGACCAATCATACTCATAAATACAAGTGTGATAGGAATCGAATCCGCCACCATCATAATCAATTGTGTGCTAAACCGCTATTCCACTGAGTCTATCAAATATAATAAAAAAATTAAATCAATCAATCAAATAAATTCCTACAAAACTCACCACCAAAACAATTTAGAATGTTCTCCATATTATAAACAGGTGATTCTAAATATATCGGACTTTTCTTATATATTATATATATATAACCGACCTCAAATAATGGGATAAAGGGAAGGCAATGATGATGATATATATTAAACGTTATCTTTTACAATTGTAATATTAAAAAAATAAGACTTATATATACAATAATATAAAAAGAAATGAAACACAAAAGTAAAACAACAAAGAACCACAAACTGTTGCTTTCGATCAAACTAACACTTCACTAATGCAATAACCATTACATTTTCATGTACAAAACAACCTTGATCACGTTAATGGTAGTTAGCAGACGTGTATACATTAATTGTTAGTTATCATTAATTTAAAACGATCTGTTGCCATAACACAAAATTTAATCACAAAATTACTTGTGATATTTCATTTCTGATTAATTTAAGTTAGATTTTCGTATTTGTATTTTAACTGTTGGCATAATACAAAATTTAATAACAAAATTACTTGTGATATTTCATTTCTGATTAATTTAAGTTAGATTTTCGTATTTGTATTTTAACTGGTGGCATAACACGAAATTTAATCACAAAATTACTTGTGATAATTATAATTAATTTCTGATTAATTTAAGTTAGATTTTCGTATTTGTATTTTAACTGTTGGCATAATACAAAATTTAATAACCAAATTACTTGTGATAATTTCTGATTAATTTAATTAAAGTTAGGTTTTCGTATTTGTATTTTAACTGTTGGCATAATACAAAAATTAATAACAAAATTACTTGTGATAATTATAATTAATTTCTGATTAATTTAATTAAAGTTTTTTTTTCTTCTTTTTCTTCTTTCAGCATATATTTGTCCACTGCTGGACGTATGCCTCTTGCATAATTTTCCACTTCAGTCTGTCTGTGGCGTGTCTTGTCCAGGTCGGTCCTGCCGTCTTCCTGATATCATCGGACCATCTGGCAGTTGGTCTGCCTACGCTTCTGCTTCCCATCCTAGGTCGCCACATTAAGGATTTGTATGTCCATCTGTTGTCTTGCTTCGGCATACATGACCAGCCCAACGCCACTTTAGCTGCGCGATTCTTTGGATGATGTCGGTAACTCCAGTGCGCCTTCTGATCTCAGTATTCCGCAGTCTGTCTCGTAGGGAGATACCGAGCATAGATCGCTCCATTGCTCTTTGGGTGACTTGTAGCTTGTTGACCCTTTCGGCGGTTAGAGTCCACGTTTCGCAAGCGTATGTTATCACTGGGAGAACGCATTGGTTATATAGCTTTGTTTTTGTTTTAATTTTTTAAATTAATTTTTTAAAAATTAATTTAAATTTTAATTAAAGTTAGGTTTTAGTATTTGTATTTTAACTGTTGGCATAATACAAAATTTTATCGTCAAATTACTTGTGATAATTTCTGTTTAATTTAATTAAAGTTAGGTTTTAATAATCAATTGTGACATTTTAGCCGCTTATGAACGTCAAGTTTTTGTATTAATATTTTTCCCCTACCGTCCAGTTCAGTTTACAGGTTCAATTGAGAAGATCCGGCGAGACACTCAACTGAATTTTCAATAATTAGTTAATAATAATAAGACTTTATTGGTTAATCATAATTTATATATGTCTACATACTTATATATTTATGTATGTCTATTAATTCTTATAGTTAATACGAGCTGTGGCCGCCACTTCGTCCGCATGGAATAGTGACCTTGACCAAATATAGGAAAAATATTTAATAAACTAACCCAAAATGGGAAAGAAAAAAAATTTCTATAGCTTCAAAAATTAAGATTTTCTATAGAAACTTTCATCCCATATTTTATTTAAGGGTAAAATTTTTACAAACTTTGAATGTCATATTTATTTATATTTAATGAACAGCCTAAAAAATAGGTTTCAAGATTCTCGTTTTAAAAATGACGATACATCCACAGAAACCTTCATCTCCCCTTTCAAACCTTTATTTGCATTAAAAAGTAGCTTATGTCCCTTCTCAGTGTATAGACTATCTGTGTACCAAATTTCATTGAAATCGGTTCAGTAGTTTTGGCGTGAAAGCGAGACAGACAGACAGACAGAGTTGCTGTCGCATTTATAATATTCGTAAGGAAGTAAGGATTATTAGAACAATATTCATCGTATCATCCTCCACTGGTGCCCCGCCAGCGTAAACCGTTAGTGCAGGCGGGTGCACCATTCCATATGACGGCCTCGGGCCTCGGTGGTCTAGGGGTCTAGCAGACCGCTTTACGTCCGATGATCGCGGGTTCGATTCCTCGCACGGCACAAACATTTGTATTCATGAGTATGATTGTTTGTATCGGTCTGGGTGTTGCTATGTATAATATGTATGTATTTACAAAAAAATATCTATGTATTTGTATCAGTTGTCTAGTACCCATAACACAAGCTTTAGCTAGCTTAACTTGGGTCTAGATGGAGCTCTGTGAATTGTCCTGAGACTATTACTTTTTTTATATATATTATATATCTCCCTTTGATGGGGTAATAGACTGATCATTGCGGGTAAAAATCACCAAACAATGATAGTATAAATTATGAATGATGAGGATGGATAATTTTTAAGTGGAAGACAAAAATTTGCGGACTATTCTACATTATTATTATTATTATTATTATCATACATAAAAAAATACACTTAGCTTTAGTTAGCTTAACTTATGTCTAGATGGCGCTGTGTGAATTGTACTGAGATTATTATATATTTTTTTTATATATATATATATATTATATATCTCCCATTGATGGGGTAATAGACTGATCATTGCGGGTAAAAATCACCAAACAATGATAGTATAAATTATGAATGATGAGGATGGATAATTTTTAAGTGGAAGACAAAAATTTGCGGACTATTCAACATTATTATTATTATTATAATCATACATAAAAAAATTGTTGAGAAAACTCTTTTGATATTAATATATTTAAAGGTTTTTCTATTCTATAATCAAAAATATAAAAACAACAATTATATTGTGTCACCTTCTCTATCTACCATAACATTAAAATAAATTTTTCAGTCATAAATAGTTTTATTACATATTTATACAACAAAAATACACTTACAGAGCCCTCTAGTGTTTGTGTGGGGACGGTCACCTTCCACAGTGGTACTCACTAACTAGATTAAATCTGACCTTGGTACGTGGTCCTTTCCCGCTATATTATCTCGGAGCTACGAAACTCCGTTTTATTATCTTTTATTTATATAAAATTACAAATCGCGTAGGAAGGGGATTTTTTTATTACAATAATAGGGGCCACCATACCCTGTAACATGTTATGTGGACCTCCACGCGGTCCCCCTGGAAACCATTGTGGTTAATTACTGGTGATTTTACCACGATGCACTTTTATTTTTAAAACTAGCTATGCCCTCGACTTCGTTCGGGTGGTTATCACAAACACTTCATATTTTTGGGTAACTTGAGCCAAATATGTATAATTTTCCCTGTTTTTGTAACATTTTCCACTCATGCTTCGGTCCTATTGGTCGTAGCGTAATGTAATATAGATTAAGCCTTCCTCGACAAATAGACTACCCAACACAAAGGTAATTTTTCAATTCGAATCAGTAGTTCCTGAGATTAGCGCGTTCAAACAAACAAACAAACAAACAAACAAACAAACACACACAAACAAACAAACTAATTCTTCAGCTTTATCATATTAGTATAGATTCGGCATACGGTTTCATGGTCGTTGCAAGCAAACCTGTCGCTAATAATAATAATAATCTCAGTACAATTCACACAGCGCCATCTAGACATAAGTTAAGCTAGCTAAAGCTTGTGTTATGAGTACTAAACTAACTGATACAAATACATAGATTTTTTTTCTAAATACATACATAGTATACATAGAAAACACCCAGACTGACACAAACAATCATATTTATGAATACAAATGTTTGTGCTGTGCGAGGAATCGAACCCGCGACCATCGGAAGTAAGGCAGTGTATTAAACCACTAGACCATCGAGGCCGTCTAATAACAATAATATATCCATACTAATATTAAAAATGTAAAAGTAGGGATGTTTGTTATTCTTTCACGCAAAAACTACTGAAACGATCAATATGAAATTTTGCACACATGTTTTTGGAGGTATAAGAATTAACATAGGACACTTTCTATTAAAAAGAAAAACCACCCCGACCACACTTTTACACACACACACGACACTGTCCTCGCCGGCGAAGACGACGACCTCAAACACACAATATCGCGCATTCAATCGGGCGCCTGCGCGCACCCGGGCGCTCCACACCGGCGCCCCGATCGATCCCCCGTGCAATTCAAACGGGGATCGAAATTACGACGGTCTGAGCCGAGGTTCGAACCCCTAGTGGTGCCCTCAGTTGGTTTGGAGTGCCATCTGCACTCGCCCCCTATCGTCCGGTGAAGCTGTAAAGGCCAGCTGCGGCCAACAGCATTAGAGTAGTCCGAAAAACAAAAAAAGGAACCGACACACTCTCGCTTTGTGATTTAGACTGTTAGGTCGTTACTCTGCTAGTTTAGCTATTGGTTATAATATTTCTTAGTTCATAGTGTTGTTTTGTTTCATTTGAATTGGAGGTTAATTATTTCTGTTTGTAATTACTTTTCGTGGTTAATTATTTTTGCAGTATAAAATGTTAACTATCGTGTGACGCACCATTAATTAAAAATGGTAAAGTCAATAATCATGTAACCTGAAACGGAACGTCAGAGGCCAGAGCCAAAGTAATCTATGTGACATTGACAAGTGGATGACGGATAATTGAACGGAGGCAGCGGGAGTTTTGGAGCGAAAGTGTTTATATTATTATAAAAACAAATAAGAGATAGGTAATTGTGAATATTGTAGGCATTGAGGTGTTTCTCTCCCTGACCAACCGGCATTACGCCTAAGTCGTCAGGATACTAGTGACTTTAAAAAAAATAAGCGATGTGAGATATTATACGCAGAAGAACCAGAGTGACCGACATAGCCCGAAGAATTGCGACTTTGAAGTGGCAATGGGCAGGGCACATAGCTCGTAGGACAGATGGCCGTTGGGGCAGTAAAGTTCTCGAGTGGCGACCACGGACCGGAAGACGCAGCGTGGGAAGGTGGACCGACGATCTGGTCAAGATCGCTGGAAGGCATTGGTTGCGAGCAGCGCAGGACCGATCGTCGTGGAGATCTTTGGGGGAGGCCTATGTCCAGCAGTGGACGTCTTCCGGGCTGCGATGATGATGATGATGATGAGATATTATAATTTTGATTCGTATTAGTTAAATTTAGATGTATCGTTAAACGGTTACAATAAAATTGTTTTGTTATAAATTTATTTTTGAGTTTAATTTCCTTAGGTAGCTGTAATTATTTCTTTTTAAAAAAATCACTTCTGGTCTTATTTCCAAGAATATCTTATACATTAAAATAAAATTTAGGCTATAAAGTACAAGTGGGTGAAACCGCGGGCACAGCACAGCTAGTAGGAAATAAATTAAAAAGAATATTATTTTATCCTCTCCACATCAAACGTAGCTCGTGTATTGCTATTTGAATAGTTTTAAATTTATAATATCTCTTCGGCTCGCAAACAACACGTGCCGGCTTGCCATACCTCGCTTTGGAAAAAAACTAGTTGCATATTAAAAGTATGCGCATACTCATTACACCACTATAGGGTCTGTTTTTCTTTATTTTACAGTAATATCTGCCCCTTCAAATTCAAAATATCTTTATTCATGTAGGTCTATTACAGACTCTTATGATATGTCAAATCTACCGTCAGTTCGGAATAATAATAATAATAATAATGTTTATTGAACTAATATTTAGTACAGCCTTGACAATATTCTTGCAAAAATAAAATTGCTTAGTAAATACAGCAGCGTTTTGTACACGTTTACTTTATAGTTAAACAATTCAAATAATATTAAACAACAAACAAATAAAAACGACATAGTGCGGTAACAAAATAAATTTAAGTCCTTATTAAATGCATGCTGATGAAACAATTATCAATTCTAAGTAGTTAGATAATAATTTGTATGTTAAATTGGACACAATCCTTATTTTGCAGAATTATAGTGGGTACATAATAAACTAAGCATACAGCAGTACCAGTACCAAAGAAAGAAAACTACCCCCCGTGATAGTTTTTATTAAAAACTGTGTTACGGCAAGGTAATGAGTCAAGCTCGGTTCATACTAATGATACATTTAAATATAGGCTCTATTGTATTCACTTACAGTTGATTTTTACATTCTATTACTGTTCACATACAACATGAAATAAGATGATGAATGAGGAATGATTTCGAGATGAGAAGAACTGACAGGAAACTCAGCTCGTATACCTTTCAAATAAATGTTGTACATGTTTACAATAATACACAGTCATTAAAATTCAAATTCGGGAGAATAGAGTGACCACCAGCATATGCTATTGCAAAAATCAAAAAATTTAATTTGTGTTCGCAACCTGAACAGACCAGTCCGCACAAGCAGCCGTTCACGAGTATGACGGATGAGCCAGCCATCATTGCACTCAACCATACTTGAGGGAGCACATCGACCCGGCCTTCCTTTGTGACGATTTTGTTTTTGCTATTATTATTATGTATATTTATTTTTTTTTGTTTTTAAATTATCATGTACATGTGTTCCATTGTATTTTTTATTATATAAAAAAAATATTATTAGTTATTTATTATATATATTTTAATTATAGTGTCTGTTTGTGGGTATTCAGTTGGGTTTAAAAAATATAAAACACTAGTTGGGCCCGCACGGGTATTTTATCTGTTTTTCGGACTACTCTAATGCTGTTGGCCGCAGCTGGCCTTTACAGCTTCACCGGATGTTAGGGGGCGAGTGCAGATGGCACTCCAAACTGTGGAAGGACTTATGGAGCGGCTGAAGGACACTACCGCCTGACGGATACGACTTTAGTCTGAGGGCACCACTAGGGGGTTCGAACCTGGGCTCAGGCTGTCGTAATATCGATCCCCGTTTGAATTGGACGGGGGATCGATCGGAAGGGCGTATTTATTATTAAATTATTCCGGCCTTTTACACGTGTCGCCTTTAAGCGCAACTGCAGGTAACGATGGCTTGAAGGTCGCGCAGCGTTTCTAATGTTACACGTGCCGTAGGACTGTCTAGAATCGTTATCTAGAAAGTTGCAAGGACGTGGACGGTGGGCACGTGTAGAAAGTGTGCTGCTACAGTTACTACTTACTACTGAATAGATTAACTCACCCATTGCCAAATCTCCTGGCTGCTCATCGGCTGATCCATCAGCGCGTTCTGCCACACCCTGAACAGCATCAGGTAAGCCTTGTCGCGACCAGAGAACGATGTGAGGAAGTTCTTCTCGCTTTCAGTGCACACCAGAATTGCATTCGGGATCACCTGGTGGATGATATTTGATATTTATTTATTCAGTAACAATTTATATTTTGTTTGAAATTATACAATTTTTGCTGCTAAGAAATTCATCAACACTGTAAAATGATTGCTCCAACAGAAAACAACGCAACCTCCTCCTAAAAAGCTTCCAATTATGTATTTTCTTTAAACTATTGGGCAAAGAGTTGTAAAGCCTTACTGCTTGGAAACCCTCACCATGCTTCACAATATTAAGGGTAGGTTTTATAATGTTAGGGTAATCCATTCTGCGAGTACTTTCCCTTATGTCTCGATTCTCCCTGGTGTCACTACCAACAATAATTTTTACAAAATCTGTTAATAGCACCAATATGTATAGAAAGAAAGAAAGAAAGAAAGAAAGAAAGAAAGAAAGAAAGAAAGAAAGAAAGAAAGAAAGAAAGAAAGAAAGAAAGAAAGAAAGAAAGAAAGAAAAGAAGAAATATATAATAAGCATAGTATAAGCATGGTACAGTCAAAATTCTGTATTCTTAATATTGCTTACAGGATTGCACTTGTGGTATACGGACAATAGTCCTAATAGCTCTTTTTTGTAATATAAACGCCTTATTTATAATGTATTTATAACTATTGCCCCAGAACTTTATACTATATCTAAGTTTTGATTTCACTAGAGCATAATAAACAGTCTCCAACTGATCAACAGTAAGGTCATCTCTGAGACTTCTAAGTGCATAGCACGCAGAACTGATACTATTTGATGAAAATGTTACTTGTAACAGATTTTTTGTACAGTATAGGGGACAACCCTCCAATCAACCTAGGGGCCGTTCCAGTATTACGTAAGCACTATGGGGGGTGGGATCTTTGCTTTGTTTCTCAATGTCAGGGTACTCCTGGTCCGTTTATAGAATCCTTACTAATATCCTTATTCCTTACTAAGGGGCCGTTCAAGTATTACGTAAGCACTATAGGGGGGCGGGGGGTCTTTTCTTTGCTTATTTTGGATGACATGGGGGTGGGGGAGTCTGTATGATGATTACGTCATCGGTCGTAATTTACTTTTTTACACGAATGGCAACCCTCACATTGTCTTTGTTAAAAAAACAATACTTTAATTGAGAGATGTTTACGTAAGCATGGGTGGAGGGGGTAAGAGCTTTGCTTACTTTTGCTGACAACGGGGGATGGGGGGTAAATAATTGTGATAAATCTGCTTACGTAATACTTGAACAGCCCCTAACATTATAAATGCGAAAGTAACTCTGTCTGTCTGTCTCGCTTCGACGCCAAGACTACTGAACTGATATAAATTAAATTTGGTACATATATCTGTCTATCTCGCTTCGACGCCAACACTACTGAACCGATATAAATTAAATTTGGTACACAGATAGTCTAGATCTTGAGGAAGGACATAGGCTACTTCTTGAAGCGAAAAAGGGTTGTAAGGGGTTGAAAGATTGTATGGAAGTATCGTCATTTTCAGAAGCTTGAAATTTTTTTTAATCTGTTGATTAAATAAGTAATATGACATACAAAGTTTGTAAAATTATCCTCAAATAAAATAGGGGATGAAGATTTGTATGAAATGCGTCATTTTTGTAGCTAGAACTATGAAACGTTTTTCTTTAGCTCTTTTTGGGTTAGATTATGAAATATTTTTGGCCAAGATCACTATCTCAGAGCTAGTAACAATAATAATATATATCCTACTATATTTTTGTTGGGGATGGTGGGATATGACACACTCGAGGTAAGACGGAAGATTGCATTAATGGAATATGTAGTCAAAGTCATGAGAGGTGAAAAAAATGTAACCAAGCAGTATTAACATCAGTGTCCATAAAAGCGCCCAATAACTACGTACAAGCAAGAAGACGAAACTTGT